CAAGGTGACAACTCAGCAAGGGGACAAGGGCAAAGCTCTCTGCAGCACAGAACCAGCGCCCATCTCAGGGCTTGGCCGTGTGGCACTCGCTCCCCTTCACACGTCAGCACCCACTGGAGACAGTTTCGCTTCCTTTTTTTGGCCCCGCTTTTGAGTTTCTGATTGGGGACTGGAAGGGGTCAGGAGTAAATTTAGCTGGGGGATGCCCCGCGCTGCACAGCTGCATAGTGGCAGTGCTGGGGGGGCCAGGAGGGCACAGATCTGGCATGGCAGCCTGGGCTCTAGACGACCTTCCCCCAAACCCTATGGAGAAGGCGGCTATGTGAGCCGGGGGGTGTGGGGATAGGGTGCCGGAGCCACCAACCACCCCTCTGGGTGCCCCAGGTCAGGCAGGGCAGAGCCCATCAGGTATCACCCAGCCTTGAACAGCTGCAGAGCCAAAGCAGGGGACTCATGACATCCTCCCACCACCACCACAGTGGGGTCCAGCTCTTCCCCTGCTCCCCACAGCCTGGGCTGGGTCTGTTGTTGGCTCCAGCTCTTACTTTCGAGTTTCAGCCATGCTGCGTGCGGTCAGGCAGGCGGGACGTCCCCGTTCCCTCAGGCTGTGCCACGTCACACGTGGCTCTCCAGATGAGGTGTTTCAACAGCCCCAGGTGCACTCACTCTGCTCCTGCCACGTCCTCACAAAGATACCCCAAATCCTCCCGGTGTGAGATACTGGGGCTCACTGTGGCCTGGGGGAAACACCAGGCTATGGTCTATGCAAAACCGTCAAGCCCGGTCTGGTCTGTGGGGGACAAACCCCAGGAAGGTGCCCCCCATGGATGGGGTCCAGCACGGCCACCCCGAAGTGCAAGGCTGTGGGTGCAGGAGCTGCCCTTGCCCCAGGGCAGAGTTTGGGGACCAGAGCAGAGCTTTGCCCTCTGGGGCTGGGGGTGATGTTTTGGGCAGGGGTTGCAAGAGCTCCCATTGCCCACACTCCTCTGTTCCATCCCCACATCCCTCCCTCTGGTCTCAGTCATGGGGTCTCTGCAAGCCTAAAGCATCTAAACGACAGGGGTTTATCAAACTCCCTCAAAGGCCTTCCTAAGCCCTTGCCTGTGAATGCAGATCTCGCCAAGCCCTGCTCACACCATGGGATCTGCTGCATCTCTCTGCAGCTAAATAAAGCCTTCCTGAAGCATCTCATTTACTAAATTAGATCCCCCTCATTTTAAAGTTAATGGTGAGCTTAGAAAACAAAAAATAAACGACTGTTTAAGATGACAGCACAGGAGACACAGAGCGAGAGCGAGAGCTGCAGCTGCGGAGAGACACAGGTTTCTGTTTCCCTCAACAGAAAACCCCACCGAGGGTGGCTGCAGTAGCAGGACAACTGTTTTCTTCTCAGGCACTGCTTCCCAGGCCTGGATCAGGCCCCACATCCCAGTGTGATTTCCAGCAGTGGCTCTCCAGCCCTGTTGAAGGCTTGTTATGGATAAAACTGTGGCTGGGAATCTGCTGTGGTGTGGCAGCATGGGGGAGTATGGGAGCACTGGGGGGTGGTGGGGGTGGGCAGGGCCACTGATCTATAATTCAGCAGGTTTTCCCTTGCTTACGGAAAGGATTTAGCAAACTCTTTTAATCAATAATTAGTGAGGCTCCCTGCCCCCAGACTCAGATGTGCCGGTGCTCTGCTAACCCAGACCCAAGCAGAAGCAAAACCCATGAGGACCTGCCCCAGACTGACCCCGTGAAAGCTCAAGTCTGGTGTCTTGTTGAGCAAGGGACAGGCTTTACCCATGGGATGTCAGGATGGATTTCAAGCCCTGTGTAAAGTGTTGCCCTACTGCCGTCTCCTTGCCAGCTGCACACACGCACCCTCCCTCGCCCCCCTCCCCCCCAAATGTACCCAATATAGCAGGGTAAAATCTGGCACCATGGCTGCGATGGGGGCTCCTGTGTCACCCCATCATTCCCTTCAGCCTCAACCACAGCTTTAGGGTATGATTCGCCAGCTACTGGAATCAATAATTAGTGAAGCTTGAGCTTTCTCAGTGGGAAATAAAAGCAGGCATCCTTCCTTGGTCTTGGTCCTTGAGGCTTTTTTGGTTGGAACAAACCCAGGCAGCCTCTAGTGGGCGAAAGCCCCAGCAGAAACATGAGGCTGGGGACAAGGATACTGCAGGCAGGGGTATGCCAGGGAAAAACCTCCCTTGAGCATGGAAAGGGGCTCTGCCAGGGCAGAGAAGCTGGTGCCATCTCTGGATCTGTGTCCCCCAGCAGTGAGCTGGGATGGGTGCTGCAGGGATCTGCACCTCCCAGACCCCTGCTGCAGCCTGGCAGCCCCTTCTCTTCTCTGTCCAGGAAACTGTCTTAAAGGAGCTTATCTTGAAACATAGCAGGACAGACCCTACCATCGCCCTGCCTTTCTTCCTCTGTCTCCAGTGCAGGCTGAGCATCCCAGTGCTGGCTCCTCTCCTGGCTGCTGTAGTCTGGTCTGGGAATGGGTTTGCTCCATGGGGATGGGGTTTCCCGAGAAACCCCCTGGCCTTGTCACCTAATACATGGGCAGGGACACTGGGACTGCTTCCATCAGCCCAGTGCCCTGTGCGCAGCAATGAGAAAGGGGTTTGCCCCATGCCCTGCCCTGTGGCAGGGTGTCCCTTGCCTGGCTGGGGAGAAGGATAAAACCAGAATAAAGCCAATAAGGTTATTTTGGAGTATGACATGCCTCTTGGCACCTCTGGTGGGGTCCAGACCCTGCTGCCAGCTTCCTACCAAAAAGCAGGAGGGAAGGAGGGCTGGGCAGACCAGGGCTTATGTCCCCCTCTGCCCCTTCCATCTGCATCCTGCCAGGACTGCAGAGTCCCCAGGGCCCTGCAGGGCTGGCACACGTCCCTGCAGGGCTGGCACATGTCTCTGGAGCTGCTCCAGGGCAGGTTCCTGGGGTTTCTGGGGACGACTTGTGCTGTGGAGGACAAAATGCTTGGTGCAGCCAGGAAACCCCAGCAGTCTGGGAGTGGGTGCAGTGGACAGAGGCAGGACAGGAAGCAGCTATTTGGGCATGGGGACATGGGTATAGCATGGAGTGGGGAGCTGCTGTCTACAGTAGCAGTAGGGAGGGATGGGGACAGGGATGGGAATGCTACTAGAGTGGAGAGCCTGAGGCTGAGACTGCAGATCCAAGCTGGCTGCAGAACTGCATAACCTGCAGAAATGCAGACTGGGTAAACAGCAGCATCTTCCCATTAGAATACAGTCTTCTGAAATGCTAAAACAATGTGTTGCCATTGCTGGGATGTCCCCAACAGCACTGGGGGACATGGGGGTCCTTTTGCCAGCAGCAGGACCACTGCTTTGTTCAGGCTACCCACCTTGGCATGTCCATGTGAGCAAGAGATGGATGAAAGAAGCTTAATTCTGCTCAAAACTCCTCTTTGGTATTTGCTTTCCTGGCAGGTCTGGAGTTGCTGCTGCAATGCTTGTTCCCTGGGAAGCTCCACTCCCTTAGACATGTTGCCAGACAACGAACAATGTAGAGAGAAGAAGCTGCCCCCATATCTTGTCTCATAGAATCTGAGTTTGGCAGAAGATTTTTGGTTTCATTTTGGCTTAATTTCCTGATAAATCCTAAAGTGGTTGCTGAACGACTGAGTGAAAAAGAGCATTAAAGAGCTGGAGTGGGCAGCTTCATCAGAGCTTTCTGGGATGGATGGAGGCATCGGAGTGGGAAGGATGGGTGGAGATCCTCAGGTGGAACTGAGGAAGATGGGTGAACACATTGAGATGGACAGGACAGAAGTGCTGGGGTGGATGGGACAGATGGACACAGCAGGCAGGGCAGCTCTGGGATCCTGAGCACAAGAGGGATGTGGAGCTGTTGGAGCTAGTCCAGAGGAGGCCAAGGAGATGCTGCGAGGTTGGAGCCAGGCTGAGAGAACGGGTATCTGGAGAGACCTTACTGTGGCCTTTCAGTACTTAAATGGGGCCTGTAAGAAAGATGGGGACAAGGCTTTTAGCAGGACCTTTGCATTAGGACAAAAGGTAATGGTTTTAAACTAAACAAGGCTAGATTAGACTACATATAAGGAATAAATTTTTAATGATGAGGATGATGAAACACTGGAACAGGTTGCCCAAAGATGTCTCATCCCTGGAAACATTCAAGGCTATGTTGGACAGGGCTTTAAGCAACCTGAGTTGCAAATGCCCCTCCCCGTGGCAGATGGGTAGACTAGATGACCTGTAAAGGTCCCTTCCAACCCAAGCCATTTTGTGACTCTATGAGACTCTGTCCCCAGAAGATGGCTACAGGGACACGTGGCAACCCTGCAGGGCTGCAGGGAAACTTCCTCAGGGCTGTGCCACAGGGACGTGTGGCCAACAGGGGCCCATGTTGCCGTCGCACAGGTTGCAAGGGACAGACTGGTGCATGTGCACAACTGGCAGCTACACGGTCACCCCCATCCTTGTGGACACTGTGGTGACAGAGGAAATAGGGACAGAGCCAGGGCTGGTGGCAAAGGGACGTGGCTGTCCATAGCCCCACCACAACCCATATGTCCCTGCAAGGGACCTGGCACCCAGAGGCCAGCAGGCAAGGGACGAGAATGGCACAGCCAAGGGCTATGTGCTTGCTGCTGGCATGGGGGTTTAGACAAGGCTGCTGCCACAGGCTGCTCATCCCCTGGTCCTGGCAGTGCTGGGGGGTTCATTGGGGGTTCCCAGGGGTGAGCAAGAGCTGCAAGCAGCCCCAGCAATATATGTGCGTGTTCCCATCCCACCCTCCTCCATACCAGCACCCCTGGGGCGATGCTGGCTGGCAAGGTGAAAGAACACAGAGACAGCAATGCTGAGCCAGCGCTAGTTCAGTGTCGGTGTTTATTTGTGTGACACTCAGGGCAGGAGGATAGGAGCAGGGCACTGTGGAACATCTGCGGCAGGGGGGAGCCGCACGGTGGGGAAAAGAGAGGGGGCCACAAGGGTCCACCGGGAATGGGGATGTCCCGGTGGGGTTAGGGGCACTCGGATCTATTCACGCTCTTCTCTACATTGCCAGCCTCGTGCGTGACCTTGCAGGCATAGGTGTTGTAGTTGCTCCAGTCAGAGGCACTCAGTGTCAGGTAGCTGCTGGCCATGTACTTGTTGTTGGTCTGCCGCTGTGCCTGGCTGGTCTCGATGCCACTGCTGAGGGTTTTGCCATCAGCTGTCCAGGTCACCTGCACAGCGCCGGGGTAGAAGTCTCCTATCAGACACACCAGGGTGGCTTTGTTCTGCTGCTTGAGCTCTTCGGTAGATGGCGGGAAGAGGTGGATGGTGGGAGAGACCTTGGGCTGGCCTGTGAGGGAGAGA